CTCTAGAAGCGTTCTGGATTTCCGCAAGAAATCCATCCATGAACAGTCGGGATGAGCGCCTTTCTATAACCAGTGAACTCTGGCTGTTCATACCGCTATTGCGAGCTGTAGGACATCATTTTACGTGCTTCTCCCACATTTCACTAATACCAGGAGTCAGTACAGAATGCACTACTCGTCCTCTACTAAAGTTCCATCGGTAAAGGGATTTTTTTGCTCAGAAGATGGAACCCTGGGGTTTGTCCTCTGACTTGCTTGAACGTCTCGTCGAGGGTCCCGACAGCACGTCTGAACCGCTAGAGAAGATGAAGCGCTCGGTGGTGTAGAGCGTAAATCTGGATTTTGAATGACTTTCTGGTTTCCGAAGACGACGATTCAGCCGGAATGTTGAGCCGATTTAGTAAGAAGTTCCATCTATCAACCTTGTAAGGCGTAACATAACTAGCCCAAATCTGTTAACTGGGTCCGGCTTTGACTAGAACGCTTGGCTGCTTTTTGAAAGTAATTGTCTTGATTTGTTACACATTCAAATGTCCCGGCTATTTTCATCAAGGATTGTATGCACGGCGTATTTCGGCTTATTCTGCGCTAATTTTTCAATCCCTTCATCGTATGTTACCACCGCCATACAATTACCGTTTCAACTCGTTTGTGAAAATCTGAATAGAATTTCTTGAATGTTACGACTTGGCACCTTGAATGTTTACGACTTGGTTGTGAATCTTAACGACCTACTTGACTACATCATTGACCTTGCTTCGATTGATTATGGCGCACGTTTGCAACGTTGCAGATTTCTCCATTCTCCTTTACTACTCCTACCGAACGTTTTTTATGTGATAAAAATTGTTTTTGCATGCTAATATGCTCTGCGGTTTCAGAATGACTCGCTATGATGTGGTAATTTATGGAGCGACCGGATTCACCGGCACATATATCGTGGAACGAATGGTTACATCGGAATACTACAAGGCAAGCGAATTTCTTTATGAACCGCTTAGTCTCACACTGAGGTACAAGGGCTATTTGTTAGTCTCGAGCGGCACAGTGTTGCCATTCATAGGTGAAAGAAGCCCTAAAGTCTTGTTCGCTGCGGGTGCTGGGGCGTGTCAAGGGGCTGGGTTTAGCGCGGCGCCAGCCCGCTTCAACCAATTGTGGAAGCTGGCGAGCATTAACAACCGGTTGTGGTCCCCTGACACGCCCCAGCATCTGAAGCGAACAAGAGTGTGTGTGCTTTGGGAGGGGTCACGCTTTATTGAGGCTTACAAAGAGGCTTGCTAGTTACGTTATGTCACGAGACAAAGCCGCGCAGTCATGCTGTTTAGTGGGTGGGCAGTGAGAGGGTAGCACGTTCTGAGATCAAATATGCCCTGTTAGAACATGCCATGCTGTCTCGGCGAGAGGCAGCAGGCAATCAGAGATGACGTGGCTCAACCCCGCTGAAAAGTGTCCCCTCCCGCCGCACCCAGCGCTGGACTCTATAGGACTGGACTTTATAGGACTCTATAGAACTGAGATGGCGTGTTCGTTTTGAGGTCTCATTGGCAAGGACCTTCAGAAAAAGAGAGATCTACGGCTCAGTGTAAATCAGACCTACTAGAGGAATGGAGCTGTTGATACCTCCCTGAAAAGTGTTAGACGTGGTGGTGAAAATGGTTAGGGTTCGAATCCATTTGGGATCCCATTCACAACAGAAGTGGGGAGGGGAAGTTGAGTTTCCGGTGCAACCCTTACTCTTACTCCCATGGCATCCGGTTCACCTGTGTCACCTGTTCGCCTCGTTTATCAAAAATTCCCGAGCAGGCGCCGAGAATGTAATCTTCGTTCCTGATCAGAAGTCAATACGGATCAGGGATTCTCCATCGCCAGAGGGACACAAATCAGTTCGACCCTCAGCTTGACCATGGACTCCTTAGAATGTTTTCAATGGCCCAAGCAATGATAGGGAGATGGAGTCAGACCCTGTTTATTTCTTCAAAAGTCTTAAATACAAGTCCACTTGCTCTTGAAGGGTATTCCTACTCGGTGTGATTTTCTGCGTGCGGTGCTTCTTACTTTGCGTCAACGTTCGGAGCGTACCCAACCAGCGTACGCCACCGTACCCTAGCGTCCCCTCAAACGCTAGATCGATACCCATACTTTCCTAGTCGCTGAAAAGCTGGTGTGCACTGGCATACGCTCAAAACGCTGACGGAGAGTATGAAGGCACTTTTGTGATTTCCGCGCGGTCCTTATGACCCTGTTTCGAACTCTACCGTAAGACAAACCTTTGTAGTGATCGAATTGAACATTTGCGGGTGAACAAAATCATATTCGCAAGTAACTGAAACTAACGGCTGAAGGTGCGGCCTCTCGACCGGTGTGCCCTGAAGCTCTCGATATTTTCCAGTAAACGGCTTCTTTTTAGGGTGTCACGTTCGCAGTTGCTGGCCGAAATCGATCAAAACTTCAACACACTCTAGAGACGGTCTCAAAAAATACGGGTGAGTGGTAAAATAGATAATCGTGATCATCATTCCTTATGGAAGCAGTGCCATCTGAGAACAAGTAGTCGAGACAACTAAATTAGTCGTAGCTCAGCTTCAGTCTGCCTAGCCTAAAACATTAATTTTTGTAGCTGTTTTGTTATGACGGAAAGCGTGAGGTGCGGGTTCGACTCCCGCCTGGGGCACGACTTTTGCCCACAACTCAGCATTCTTGTGATAACATTCGGAACGCGTACTGCGGCGTTAAACAGCAGTTATCATAACAAAGCAGCT